ACATTGCACAATTTTTTTTTGGTGCAGAAATTTTTGAAACGATCTCTATAATTCTGCTTTTGAGATTACTTGGCTCCAAGCAGTGCATTTAAAATTTCCAAATGACTAAGACTTCTGGGTAATCGCTGTGCATTCTGGTCTTCTTGCAAAGTGAGAAATTGAACCCATTGTTTTCAAATGTAATGAAACATGGATGAATGTTAACATTAACAATTAAGGAAGTCTGCACCATCTCATTTGTGGATATTTATTCAATCATTTATTCATTTTGATTCTGCATATCTTATGTATTTTAGAGCAAATAATTTTTTTTTTTTTTTTTTTTTGTGGCTGGCTGGTGCAGGGATCTAAACCCTGTGACCTTAGTGTTACCAGGCTGTGCTCTAACCAACTGAGTTAACTGGCCAGCCTAGAGCCAATAATTTCCCCCCCAGATCTCAAACATGTTTGTGGACCCCAGAGCCACAAGTGGACACAGGCAATGGGCTGTCGTGCCTGGGGAACACACCAGGCCTTGAATGTTGAGTGACCGGCACTGGTCCTCCTGTTTCCCGGGGCACTAGCGAGAAAAGGGGCCTGGACTCCCATCCACCCACCCACCCTCTCTGTCTGTGCACCAGAACAGGCTGGGATCACAGGAGAGGACTGATTCTGCTTTTATAGGGGTTGGACTTCTTATGCATTCTCCATAGACAATAAAACAAACCCATCAAACAAAACTCTTCCAAAGGGAAAACGAACAAAACCCTTTGCTGTTATACTGCCCTTTTCCCTGTGGTGGCGGATGCCTCCAAAGTCAAACTTCTCCTGGCACGGCTGGAACTTGGATCACGTCCCCTTCCTGCCTAAGACCCTGCCCTGGCTTCCCATCGCCCTGTTTACAGGGTCTGGCTCCATCCTGAGCCACCTTCCTCCGTGGGCAAACCCCTGGGCAACACTACCCATCGCTTGCACCGGCTGCATCTTGCCCACCTCACGGACTTGGTGCTGGAAGTCCCTTCCACCTGGAATGCTGTTCCCTTCCTCCCTGCACAAGTGAATGTCCCTTGCCTTTCAGCACGTGAGTGTCACTCCGTCGGGAACCCTTTCTCGACCCCCCCAGCTAAGTCAGTTCCTACCGTTATAAGTTCATGGCACCACGTACCTCTCCTGCCTGGTACTGTCATAGTTACCACGTCATAGATGTTTTTCTGTGCTCATTTAGTTAATGTGAATCTCCATAACTGGATGGTAAGTTCTATGAGTTTGGGGACCATGTCTCAGTGTTCTCACCACTGTGCCCCTCAGCGTGAGTTTTATCATTAATCCCACTTTACAGAAGTGCAGACTGGGGCACAGAGAGAGAAAACCTGTGGCCAAGCTCAGACAACTGGAAAGTGGTCTCACCCCAGTGCATGATCTATATCCGCCGGCAGGGAGACGTGCTCAGGAGCATCATCTGTGAACAGAAGCACAGCCCTGGCACACGTTCAGAACTGACACTCCTTAAAGGCTCCCTGATGGCCAGGCACTGTCCCAAGAGCTTTGCATCCGTGAACTCCAGCGCTCACCACGATGCAGTCAGGGACGTGCTCCTATCAGCTCTGTGTTTGAAACTGGGAGGCCTGAGCGAGGTCACCCAGCTGGGAAGGGGCAGAGTCCGGGTCTGAGCCCAGGTGTTCTGGCTCCGGAAGCAGGGCACACGGTGTCACAGCAGCAGGCCCCACCAACGTGCTGAATGCACGAAGGAGGGTGTTTAGGAGTGAATTTAGGAACCGGGTCCACCCTGACAAGCCCAACAGCAGGAGCAGTCTCGCTCTCCGCTGAATGCAAGGATTGAATGCATGTTCACTTAAAGGAGTTTTAGCGACTGCCTGGATGAAATAGTTAAGGTGATCAACTGTCCTGGTTTGCCCAGGACTGAGGAGATTCCTGGGATGCAGGACTTTCAGTGCTAAGGCTGGGAAAGTCCCAGGCAAACCGGGTCTCCCTAGAAATAGCTGAGAAAAGACAGCTCCCCGCCTGCCCACCTACAACCTGTCCACCTACACACCCCCATGGGCTTCCTGCTGCCACGGGAGAGATGGCAGCTCTGCCAGACCAGCGGGACCAGGGAGAGGCCCTGCTGTGCTCTGGGTGACAACAGACACTCTGTCTCACAGTTCAGACACCAGCAGTGCCCGCACCACCCTGGGAATATGCATTCCACGTGGGGAGCAGGCCTTGGGCCTGGGGCCCAGAGGACCAAGATGGTGACTCTCTCTCTCTTTCCAATACTCTCCCCCTCTTCCCCGTGTCCTCTGTCGTCCTCCCTATGTCCTCTGGAAGGCAGTTGCCACTAGGGGGAAAGCACTGAATAGAGTAAGAGGGACAGCGGAGAGGCTTTGCAGAGAATTTCACTGATGGGTTTTGGCAGCTTCCCATTGTCCACCCGCACCCTGACTTCAGGATTAGAAAACTTTATCAAAGTTCACTCTCCTCCCAACTCACCCTCCTGGACTTTGAGCAACCCGGGCCTCACTGACTAGAGCAGCATTGTCTGAGAGACACATAAGGCAAGCGACATAATGTCACCCTAAATTTCCTAGCAGTCACATTAACAAAGTAAGAAAAGTTGACATTCATTAGTTAACCCAATATATAAAAAAATTACTATTTCAACATGTCATCAAAAACATAAGAAACTTTGCATTTTTTTTTTGTACTAAGTCTTTGAAGTCCAGGGTTTATTTCACACTTCCAGTGCACCTCAGTTTGGAAGCTAAATTTTCACCAGAAAGACTTGATTTTTGTTTAGATTTTGTAAAAACATAGTTGAAAAAGTTGATTTACATACCCAATATGTTCCAAGAATACTGAAGACTTTCCAAGAACTGAAACTGAAATTCATTAACATTGAATACTTAGTTCCTTGATCACACTAGCCACAATTCAGGCGTTCAAGTGCCACGTGTGGCTGGTGGCTGCCCTATGAGAAAGGACAGGGCTAGAATAGTTCCCCTTTGTCACCTTCATCTTTACCTAATGTCTCCTTTCCTGCCAACATGTATAACTGGGTAAAAAAAAAAAAAAAAAAAAAAAAGAAATAGGGGAGAGGTGAGATTAGGAAAAAACCCAGCTCTTACAGAGCAGACTTTGACCACAATCTCCAAGCTGAATTCTGAGGCCCCTGGTGTGCATTGATGATGGTCACAGGCTTATTTCTTAAATATTCCACATGGACAATTTGATGCTACTTGTGTATGTGCAGTTAGTTTCACCTTCAACCTAGGGACAGTCAGTTGCCCTAATCAGGCGTCCCCACTGCTGGGGTGGTCAGCAATGTTTCATCAGAAAGGCCATGGTCCAGAGGCGGCTGTGACACCTGAGGCTTTCCCAGTTACCCAGCTGAAGGCAAGGAAGGGGCTTTTATTGGTGAAGGGGTGGCCTGTTAGCAAGTACAATGACTGGTAGAAAGGGTCTCCCAACAGTCAGATGGAGGAAGGCATAACCTGGGGACCAGCTCAGGTACTGGAACCCCTGCTCTGGCTGAGTGGCCAGGTATGCGGCCTGCGCCCCAGGGAGGCTCCAGGTCTGATCCTAACTGGTCCTGAGTCCAGTCTTGGTTCACATCTCTGCCACCTGATGCCATCTCCAGGGGTAGCTCTGGATGCCTCCACAACCCTGTTGTGGCTGCCTCAACAGGCCCCTTTCTGCAAGGTGATGACCGGAGCCACTCAAGGACACAGAGCCTGGACTTCATGAGAGCCACAGAACAGGCTCTATGACCGACTGGGGTCTCTGCTGCTGAAGCGGTGTTTACTGAGTGTCCACCCACATGAGGGCAGCATTTGATCTTAGGCTCCCTTTCCCTATCCAGGCAAGGAGGTGCTAGTGAAGTTGCCCCTCACCCACCCCAAACTTTTTTACCTGCTATTGCTATCAATCAAAAAGAACCCAAGGGCTGTGCGTGACCAAGTTGCCTTAATTCAGCTCAAAGTAAGCCTTCTAGTTGCTGGATCATTCGGAGGGCTCAGATTAGATTAGATTAAATTGAATATGTCTCCTCTGGGGAAGTAATTTTCCTCAATAAGCCTCAGTCTCCTCTTACCTGTAAAATGGTAATAAAGTATTTTAAAACTTCCTATGGCTGTTGAGGGCAAAGGGGATTTCAGCTACCAATATTTCTGCACATCTGAGTCAAAGTGTGTCAGTTCAGATCACATAGACGTGCAGGCACACGCAGGCGTACACGCTCACCACAGCGGCACCGATGTGTACAGGTAGCAGCACCATGTCTGGAGAGATGTGCGCCAGAAAGTCAGCGGGGGAAACCCAGGTGATAAGGATCACAGATGATTTTTAACTGTTTTCTTACTTTCTGTCATCCTGAATTTTTTTTTTAAATTTTACAATTGACTGTGTTCTACTTTTATGATTGAGAAAATAACCAAAAATCAAGACCCACCCTTACGGCTCTAAATCCCCCCAGTAAGCCACTGGTGGAAGCAGGATGCATACCTTGCTTGATGGTGGGGGACTTGGGGCCGCTGTCCACCACAAACGAGAACATCTTCCCGCTGGTGCTCACAGGCCGCCTGTGTGAGGCAGGTGGCGCCACGGTGGGCCTGGGGAACCCCTGGGACCAGCTCCTTTGCACGGGCACTGGCCTGGTGCCCTGGTGGAAGGGGACGTATGGTGGTGAGGGTGATTGGTTCGGCTGCTGTGGGGCCCGAGGTGGCTGTGCCCTTGGCCACGGTGCTGGGCCCCTCATCCATGGGTAGGAGACCTGCAGGGGCAGACAAGAGGGTCAGGGGCTTATGACTAACTGGGATGGTCTCCACTCCTTTGTCCCAGTCACATACTCGCTGCCTTAGGTCTCAGTTTCTGCCACCTCCCTCCCCCTTAGATCTTAGCTTCTGTCACCCTCTCCCCAGTAGCCTTCCTGGACTCTCCTCAAGTTTGGGATGATGGTCCAAGCCACCATTTAGTGGGTGTGTCCTTTATGCTAGGTACCCCGCCAAGAGGTTCACATGTACTAACTCATTTAATACACCCAATACTGTGATGATGCTGAGGCTGGGAAAGACCAAGTGACTCTCCCAAGACCATAGATGTAGTATCAAGCTGCTGAGCTGGCAGAATGTCACCTCTACAGGATTCGGGACTTCCCATTTATTTTGCTCACCACTGTATCCTCAGCACCTAGATAAACACCTGGCACTTACATAGCAAGTCCTCAAATATTGGTTGAAAGAAGGAATGAGCCAGTCACTGAGATCGGAGCCAGCTCTCTGGGACTCCACAGCCTGTTCTCTTTCCTTCCACACTGCACGTCTCTCTGTCTGTGCCCTGAAGGTGACAGCTCTGGGTGGCAGGTACCTTGACTGTCTCATTATCCTTTGATCCTCAACATCTAGTGCACCTGATTCTGGCAGATGTTCCATAAATATCTATCAAGGAAACCTTTAATCGTCTGACCCTGGGGAAGGTGTTTGCAGCTACTGTCCACGGAGAGCACCTAACCGTGGAGAAGCGAGTGTGGAGAGGGGCTGACGCCTGGCTTCTGTCTCAGCTCGATGCCTTAGTGGTGGTTCCTCCCTGGTGGCTAAACGTTGACGTGGGTCAGTGCTGTCGCTCACTGCACTGAACCTACCTGTGCCTCACAAGAGCCCTCCATTGGGGGGTCTCTTCCTATGTCATAAACGAGGCCTGGAGAGGCTCAGGGGTTCACCCAAGCTCAGGCAGTGGTGGTGGGGGGGATTGGTATCAAGATCTGATGGCTTCTCTCTGTCCTCTCTCTTCCTCTGTCTCACTGTCCCTGTCCCTCTCAATCCCGCTCTTTCTCCTTCCCTCTGTCTCTCTGTCTCTCTCGTACTCTGTCCCTTCTAGTGCTCTTGGCGGAAATAACACACTTTCCAAGTAAGAAACTAAGTTCGGAGTCTTGCTGCCTACGTCGGGCCACACATCTACTTTCCCTGGGCTCCCGCTTCTCCTTCCGCGGACTAGAGAGAGTATGAGCTCGAGACACACAACGAGACAGGACAGGACGCTTCTAGGATGAGAGACAGTACCTCCTCAAGCTGCAGCTGGGTTTTATTGAAGAGGAAGGTTGTCCACTCACTCAGGGCACTGACCCAACCTTTAAGCTACAGACTTTTCACAGCAGCTCAAGGATCACCTAACTCCAATCACAGGGACATCTGGCCCCGCTTTCATAATGACACTGGTCCACTTTAAAATCAGTTTGCAGGAATGCGACTTGGCGGCGTTCCGGGACTCTGTTACTTTATGTGTGGTTTTGAGTTTCCCTCCGCTGTTGACATGTCCGTGTTTCCCCATCCTCTCTTCCTTTCTTGCATTTCAGAAGCGGGTGTCATGCTCCCACCCTGCACTAACTTCTCCGTCCATCCTGCCCCTTCCCATCCTCCGGGGCTGTCTTGCCTCAATCGTTCCTATAGCCTATTCCCATTGCTTTAACAAATATTTATTGAATGACTAGGCTGAAGGCGGAAAGGGGTACATTTGAATGTTCCGGGGCTGTCTTGCCTCAATTGTTCCTATAGCCTATTCCTATTGCTTTAACAAATATTTATTGAATGACTAGGCTGAAGGCGGAAAGGGGTACATTTGAATGTGTTTTACCCCAGGCTTGTAGAACACAAATTTAGAGATTGTTGGTTGTGGTGGAGGAATCAGGTTTTGTGTTGGGGGGTTCAGGGGAGCCTCTTAGGAAAATGTGCCTCACTGCCAGCTAATGGCAAGGGTGCAAAAGGGAGTGACCATGTCTCATGCCTCAAGGGTTCCACTTTGGTAGTGGACAGGCCAGAAGCCGCTCAGCATCTTTTGGAGATTCTGGGCAATCTTGTTCATGCTCTCTCAGCCCATTGTTGTGGGTGGAGCTAAACAAGCAGCCAATCATATTCCCTTGCCATAGTGATTGGTTCAGAGAAGGGGCATGCAATCCAATCAGAGCCAAGGAAACCCAGGGAGACTTGGCTGGACACCAGAATCTGTAGCTACAGGTGACCTCCTGGGACTTGAGAATGTAGCCAGCACCAGGGGATCCCAGACACAGAGAGAGGGAAACTGGTTTTTGGTTTTGTTGTTGTTGTTTTGGTTTTTTTTTTAATTGTGAAAAAACCTGCAAAACCCCATAAACTTACTATCTTAGCCATTTTTTTTTTTTGCTGCTCTACCCCCAGACCCCACCCACCTATCTTAGCCATTTTTAAGTGTACATTTCAGCAGCAGTATTAAGTATATTCGAATTGCTGTGAAACAGATCTCCAGAACTTTTTCATCTTGCAAAAGTGAAATTCTGTTCTCACTAAATAACCTCCCTTTCCCCCCCTCCCCTGAGCCCCTAGTGACCACTATTCCCTTTCTGTCTCCATGAATCTGATTAATTTCGGTATCTCATATAAATGGGACCAGACAGTATTTGTCTTTTGTGGCTGGCTGATTTCACTTAGCATAATGTTCACAAGGTTCATTCATGTTGCAGCATGTGCCAGAATCTCCCTCCTTTTTGAGGTTGAATCAATACTCCACAGCGTGGATATATCACATTTTGCTTATCCATTCACCTGCAATGGACATGTGGGTTGCCTCCCCTCTTGGCATTGTGGAAAACAGAGAACAGGGGTGAGAAAACAGAGAAGCTGGTTTTGAGCCCTGGCCCAGGTCCTACCCTGTACCGTGAGGCTGGCTAGGGCTGGTTTTTGTCACTTGCAACATAGAGCCCTACTGATAAGGTCTCTAAAGGGAAAGTGGTATGATGTATAAATGCAGCAAAGGCTGTGATTGCCTCCTTAGGTTCAAAAATAAAAAAATAAAGTTCCTTTTTTAAAAGATTGTTGATTCAGGGTGGCATTAGTTGGAAGGTTAGAGCTGGTTATCTCTACTTATCAGGTCTGCTCTATCATAAGCAAGGTCAAGGTTTTATCAGAAATTGCTGCTGGCAACTATAAGGAAATAGGTATGGGGAAAAACAAACAGAAGAAAATGACTCACGTTGAAAGCTACCTCCTGGCTGTGCTCACATTAGAATGTACATGGAGCCTGGGGTCAAGGTCAGTTATCAATGAGTTTGGTTTTAGAAATTTGAGTTTAAAAATACATGCTAATGCCTTTCTTCTTTTTTTTCCTGGTCTCTGACCATATGGTATGTTGCGTGGTGTTTACTTATTTGTTTCGTTTTTGAGACAGCATATGCTATTCCCAATTTCTTCTACATGATCTTTAAAATAGCAGGTTGTCAACCACCTAGACCACACCCACTGCTGGATTTCTATCAGCTTGAACAAAACACTAGCCAACTATTAACTCAAGAGATTACAAGCTATTTTTTCCAGATTATCTACTTCTTTGTGTTATCACGTCCACATCTGCTTCTAACGCTGTCAAAGCTGCAGAGAGAGGGGGACACCCTAAAACACTAAGGTAGTTCTGCACGCAGAGTGCTACAGGATCTGTGCATTCCGCCAGGAGGACCTGGAGGCTGTGCATGAAGCAGGGAAGTGGACTCTGCCCTTGAAAAGCTTGTCCAGTTCTCTGCTGTCTGCCATTACAGTCACTGCTGCGGCTGTGTGTGGACCACCATGTAGAGAAGCACTTACGTGCCAGAGACTGTGCTGTTTCCTTAACTTATGTGATCTCATCTAATTATCAGAATGGGGATGGGGGAGACATTTTTACTCCCTTTTGTGATTAAGAAAATGAAACTCAGTGAGGTTAAGTGACTTGCCTAAGGAAGGTCCCTCCGCCAGGAAGTGGTGACGCTCTTTGACTCCAAAACATGTGCTCTTAGAGCTTCTAGGTTATTCGAAGTCATGATTTATGCCTGCTTTCCATACTCGCAAAAGGATCTTAAGATGATTGGTGAATGAAGAATAGGAGATACTCCGAGTTAAAAAATGAAAATAAATAGATGGTGCAGAAACCATAAGCTGTTGCATGGGCTGCTTGTAAATGAAACTTTCTGGGAACGCTGATGACCCCCTTATGGTAGCGTTATTCATAAGGGACATGCAGGGCTGGGGAAGCAGCTCAGAGGCCCACAGCCTCCATCCAGGCAGGAGCTACGACACACCCATGGCTGCACAAGAGAGCTGGGGCCAGCTTACACTGGATCGTGAGAGCGGATTATTAAATGCTCAGAGTTCTGTGAGCCGGTTGATAAACACAGCCACTCATAAGAGTTAAGTTATATACACTTACGATTAAATTATTCAGAAACAATGGTAAAAAATACTTACTACTCATCACTTCCTAATTATTTTACTGTATTTTATTATTACCTATGCTTTTGAGGTTATTTAACTCTGCTGTAGCTGTGTATTGGCAATGCTGTATAATAAGAGATGTGTACCACACATCTTTCCAACTCTGTGTCTGGTGATGTTATATTGTAGCTTGAAATCAGCCACAGGGGGAGTATTTACACCATAGAAATCAGGAAATGCTACAAATCAGTGCTTGATTTTTTTTGTTGTTGATTGCCTACACTTTAGAAGGTGACGAAGAATAATAATACAGATTAAACTTAAAAGTGTGTTTTGTCTGTAACTATTACATTATGAATAGTACCAAATATTGAAGAAATATTCTTCTGGTATTTGAAAACTACTATCTGATGCAGCAGAGGAGTCACTTGTCATTGATGGACATGTGAGGTCCCAACACACGCCTTTCTTATTCCACTTTTGTCCTCCTCATAAATGAAAACCAAAACATCCACCAATATTAAGGATGGAAACTCACTCGCTCATCAGTTGCTACCATAAG